AAGGTAATCTCAATAATACTAAGATTATCGACCCACTATTTGCTGACGTCCAAGGAGAGCCTTTAATAAGAATCACGGATGATAAAAAAAATGAGAGGTTTAGTAATGAAAGCCTTAACAAAATTCCTCATAAAGAACCCGTTGAAAGAAAGTCTAGTGGCTCTGGATCTGAAAAAAAGGGCAGAGGCTTTGGTAGTGGTGGATATAATGTATATAATAGAGGTTGGGGTTCTAGGGAACCTCGCGGGCGTCGATCAAACCGAAGTTCGCGCTCCAACAATAGGGCCAGTGAGTCTGACGGCTCAACCGACGCAGAGCGGAAAGATCGACGTCGTGCCCCTCGTAGCCCTCGGGGACCAAAAAAGCAAGACAGAGTTGAAGATATTGCAAATGCCGCTCCTGATCCAAGTCAGATTTCTTGTGTAAATGATGTCATAGAAAACAGAGAGCCTTTTGCTCCTCGCGGTCAGCCTTCTCGTCGCGGCAGAGGAGGTTTTCAAGGCACTTCAAGACCTCCGGCGCCCGCTAAAAGGGTAACTGGCTATGGGCCTCCTAATACTAAAAGTCCCTTTAGCCAAGCTAATCGAGTTAAGGATAACGAAGATATTAAAGATGAAGTTCAGGATGATAGAGGACAAAGTAAACGTACTGGTCCATCTAAGGGACGAGATCGTCGTCCTAAAGGCTCAGGGCCTCATAGTGGTGAAGATGAGAATTGGGAAACAACTTCTGAACATTCCGAGAGCGGAGGACCGCGTAGATCCCTTGGGAGTAGGCAATCTGGACTATCTCAAAGAGGAAATAGAAACCAAAATTCCAGTAACCGACAAGGGGGTCGAAACGTTCAAGGAGCTAAAAAAGAAGTTTTACCTGACAAAGGAGTTGATGTCACAGAGGCTATGTCTGATCTCAAAATGTCTAAAAACGACGAGGTAATCGATGACGGTTTTCAAGAAGTACGCAATAAGAAGAATTCGAAAGATTCTCGCGGAGCTTCTGCTAATGCAAAGGAGGAAAATCAAAACGCTTCTAAACAGCCCCGATCACGTTCTAATCAAGGTGGTGGAAGAAATGGGTCATCGACTCGAAATTCTAACGAAAAACCTAACCCACGGGGATCAGTGCCAGTATCTGGTAAACCCAATTCACAATATGATAGGCCGCGCACAGCTAATTTAGCTCCAAGGTTTGTGAAACAGAGACAGAAGCAACAAATGGGTCTAGCCTCCAGTTTTATGCCAGATACAGGCGCAGCGCCACCTCCTCCAGCCGTTAATGCCTGGGATAAACCAATTTCGCAAACACTACGCGGAAATATTGAGGAACCCGTTGAAGTTGAAAAATCAAGTCACTCAAGTCTGAGAAGCTCCCCAGGTGATGCTCCAGTAGAGGCAAAACCATCTCCACCTACAGTCATTACTGAGAAAACTGGTGTTCTAGATGGCTCAACCCCACCAGTTGAAACAATTATATTTGAGAATACTAACTACAAAACTCCTCCAGCTGAGGCCTTAAAATCCAAGTATCAACCTAGTGTTAGCACAGTGAAATCTCAAGAAGAAGTTGCTAGTGAAATGGAATCGAGAGCTCTGCAGTTCAATGGGGATGTAAGAGCCCGACCAAGGTCCATTCAAGAGATAATGGCTGAGTCTGGTAGGCCTGTGACTGAAGCTGAAGGTTCTCTAAGTCTTCCGATGTCCTTTGATTCATCTCAGAAAGCTGAAGATTCATCTGACATGAAACTCGATTTTGCTTTTGATTCAGATCTTGGACAATTGACAGAAGACAAAGCTACAAAGTCACTAGGCTTACCTCGTGGCGTTCATATGAGTACATCGAACACAATATCTCCACTAGCAGCGGATCTGAACTTAAAAATTGCTAGTGTTAAGAAGGTTTGGGAGATGCCTGCTGTAGTTGAAGGTAGTGAAGAACTTCAGTTTGCTGGTTTTGAAGAAAATAACGCAGATACAGGAGCGCCACCTAATGTCTGCAAAGTTAAGCCAACTCAACAATTACAGTCACCCCCGCCTCAACACTACAATCATGTCGGATATCCGGGAAGTTATGGTGGATTATCTGTACCTTCCCCACCGGCTGTTCTTTTCAACTCCTCCCAACAGATACTGGGTTCTTCACAACAATTGCCACAACAAGGTGGATTATATGGAGCATTTTTGGATCAAACAAGGGGACAATTTGGTGGATTTCCGGCAACTCCCTATGGCGCGGGTTCAGCGACGCCATACAATTATCAACCACCACCAGACATGTTCCAGAGTTTACAGAGTCAATACAGAATGGTTAGTATTTCAATTATAAAAACACTAAAACCTAACGTTTACTATTCTCGTTTTCAATACTAAATTGTAAAATAATTACGTCCCTTAACCACCAAATACATAAAAACTAGTTTTGTTCTTAATAACAGAAATCTTGTAATATGTATAGTAAGTAATCAATTTAATTTATTTTAGGCCGCAGCTGGCGGTGGGGCAGCTTTTGGTCAATCTGGTCAGTTGGGAAACAGTCCCAGCACAGTCCTTATATCGAGCACTTCTAATTCTCTGATGTCTGCAACCGTCAAACCGTCTTCGCAGCAAATAGGGGCAATTGGTGGGTAGATGGTTCTTTATTATAAAATTTAAGTATGAAACAAATTAGGTAAAAATTTTAGTATAAACAATTAATGTGACATATTATTGAGTTCTGTATTTACTTATAATTTTTTTAAACAATGAATTAATTTCAAGTAAAACAATTTTTTTTTATGATAATCGTACATTACTCAAGCGCGGAAAATTTTATAATCGTCGAAATTTGTGTTTCTATTCAACTAATTGACTCATTTTTAAGTTTATCCTTAAGTTTAATCTCCTATTGTTATACCAAATAAATGACTACAGGAAGCAAAGGAGGCGGTGTGAGCGGCGTTGGCGGAGTAGGTGGTGTCAACACCTTCCAGCAACAGTACCTGGGTTACTCGGGTCCGGTGGGCGAAGCGCCCTATTCCCTCCAAGGGCTACTGCCCAGGCCTGCGCCCCCTGCAAACTCATACTACTCTCCATATCAGCCCCCAGCTGCCCCAGCCCCTACATATCCCTTACAGTTTACTCAGCCGGCCCAATCTAACGCGTTCAGCTCGCAATTCCTGTCTTCACAATTGCATGTTGCAGCTGCTGTACAACAGATGCAAGTAAGTTAAATATTGAGTATTTTGCAAGGAAAAATAGTACTTAACACAGCATATTATTTATTTACTTTGTTGTCAATTTGTATACTAAATAAGAGTGTATAAAGAAAATTTAATAAAAATTAAATAGAACATAATCAAAATAACCCAAATTCGCCCAATCCTTAATGACACGTTGCGCATTGTAGTTCTATCACTTTCTCTTAACTTAGCCTTAGATTTATTAGAATCTCTCTACCATACTATTCCGGCCAGCATGACTTGTATCGTTACGTACACTATAATATAATTTGTTTGAGCGGTTATGTTATTGTTTTTCTTTGACACTATTAAATTGAATATAAAGATACGAGATTAGATAAACTAGTAATTATCTTTGCAGCAACAATACCGGGGTCCGATGCAGCAGCAGTACCCCCCACAAGCGCGCCCTCCACCACAACAACTCAAGAGCCCATTACATGAACATGCTAACGGCTTTGCCTCCCTTTGTGAGGCTGGCTCTCCTACCCCCAAGGGGGCAAAGCCAAAGCCTCCTCACTCACCCCCACATAAATACCACGCTCCACCCCCACAGCATCCTCCCCCTTCGCACACGCCGCACCAGCATCATCATCAGCAACATCAACAACACCAACAGCACCCGCAACAACATCAACATCAGCAGGTAACAAACTGACTGGTACTTCTTAGTCTAAGTTTGACTAGATATTATGCTTATCCATTTTAAAGAATTTAAAATACTTGTATTACTTTTGTATATTAAAAATACTTATTTATGGTGGTGGTTAAGTTTAGGTTAGCTTTATTAACAAAATAATTATACAAGGCTTATTGCAATATATTGCGTAATTCGCTACTATGTGTTAGCAGAGCAACATTCTCATTCCCATAAACAGGTCAATGAGTAGTTTACATAATAAGCAATCAGTATTTTCACATTTAAGCAACTCGGCAACGGCAACGGTCGGGGTTGCGGCAACAACGCCATGCGTACGATGCCGCAGCGCTACCCGGCGCCCATACAGCGACCGCACGCCGCGATGCCGCTTTACCGACAACAGCCGCCGAGACACCACGCGCCACGGCATAATCTCTATTATCATCATCCGCCGCGCAGTAAGTAGTCCTGTATATCATACTGGCCTCAACCCATTTATGTAAGAGATAAACTCCAAACTGATGAAAACCCCTTGCGTTTATTCTAAATTAGTGGTATATAATAAATAATACTTTCTTATTCTATTTATTGTTTATTATATATAAAAAAATATATAAATTTTTTAGATGGCAACGGAGGCGGCGATCAGCAGGCCCGCTCTGGCGGAAACACGCCTTCTGCCACAGAGGAATCTGTGGAGGCTCCGCCCCCAGTCGACGCGCCTGCGCCGCAGCCGGCTGAAGTCAAAGCGGACTGAGCGCATTACGAACGACTACTTACTCAACGCATGGTCATCTCTTACTTTTCATTCGATTGGCAGAATGAACGGTCCTTTAGAAAGGATTTAGTAAATGAAACGCGCTATTGGAAACTGCTACATCTGACGCACTGTAAAGGGTGTTAGTTTCTGGTCATATGATTGGCAGAATGAATGGCCAGAATTTATATATAAAACGTAACCGGCTGGTATAAAGACTGCCACAACACAACTTTATGGATTTGTGGCTTTATTTTTGGCCACGGTCACGAGTGTGTGGACTAATGAACTTTGACACTTTTATTTTATTCATATTTTTGACTTTAAATTAATATTGTGAAGTGCCGTGCACGCCGACGTTCGTATGCACGCGCTCGCATTATATAAATTCAGAGTTTCGGAGATATCCCGGCCGGCTCCGGTGGCCAGAACGAAGGTGCTTCCTTTGTTTTCGGTTGGCAACATGGATCTTGAGCCTTGAAGAATTCTTCGGATGGTTGGAAATAGTGCGCAAGGCAAGCCATATGCTCTTTTTTCCAGCGCTCAGGATCCGCGCCGCTAACCTCAATGTAAATATCGGCAGGACACGGCTGTCTAATTTGACTGTTATTTTAAGTATTTTAAGTAATCGCAGGTCGGCTTCAAGATGCCGAGACCTCTCACTAGTGAATATGTAGCCACGGTTTTGCAACTGACGATGATATAAATAATGTTAATGTAATAATGGAGCAAAGCCGATTGCGCTTGGACATCAGGCCGGTGCGCTTTTGCGCTCCATGTATCATAATCGATTATTATAGTATGCGAATAAATATTATGACCGATTACATTTTATTATTTCCCCTCAGTGTTTATGTGTACTAATATTGTTATTAAGTCACAGTTCTAAAATTAAATAAACAAAATACCTGCAAAATAGTATTTATGGTGATCAATTTTTAATTACTTTGGCACCTAATAGTACCACTAAATGGTAAATGATTAATACTTTTTTTCTTCAATTTTAAATTGTAAGACCAAAGTTCACCTATAGAAATCAATATTATGGAGTTATAATCTGTAATAGTCACATAAATTATGGAGACACAAATTATAGCATATTGTACCTAAATCAGTACTTTTAACTGAATCCAATATTCCTTAATTATATATAGTATCATAATCAGTTGTAATTTTTATATGGACAATTTGTTGACTGGATATATGTATTTGTTTTTAAGTGGCTTGCATATAGAATTTTCGACTTTGATTGCTAAGCAACGGAAGCTGGACCCTTAATTACAACTTAGTTTTTTATCAAGTCTACGAATCATTCTACCATTCAAATCAATTTTGAAAGCTACCATAACAAAATAAAACTCCCAGTTGGATCTTCGCCAATAAGGGAGTCCAATAACAACCCGAACGCCATAGTGGCGCCTGTTTACTATTAGTTCTTTGTTTGCGAGACAGTATTGTCGGAGTACGTTATCATTCATCTGGCATTTACTTAAATATTTTGATATCTCTCTTACAACCGTATTTCCCCCTTATAAATTGTTTTGTTGTTTGTAGAGGATAAATTTAACTTAAGCTTTACAGGCCGACTTCGACTCGAATCTTTAAAATTTACTTTTAATTAATAATAGGAGTTTTCTATTTAACTTAATACCTTACAGTTTATGCAGCATTTTACACTTCAATAACAATAGAAATCCCACGATGGCCTAACAGAACGTCATTATAAATGTTATTTTCCTCTTACAATTATTGGATTGGAAATATAAAGCTTTACTATATACAAAATAATATTTTCAATCCTAGTGAATGTCCAATCAATCAAAGAATATATTGTTTTAAATGTAGTTTTCAAAACGACTTGATTTTCAGTAGGTATTTGATTAATTATGCGTTATAACTGTCGACCACTGATTTACATTATTACAATCGTAAGCTAGACAAACAAGTAAATTTATTCCTCTATTTAAATTAATATCGTATCCTAAACTTGTCCTGGGTCAACAACCAGACGGGATGCAGTCGAGATCTTTGTTCATAGCCGACGCGTCGGGACGTTCACCTATAGATGCAATAGGTAATCCATAAAAGGTAATCGTTCATACTTGTTATAATCTATTTTAACCCATAACAAAAATTATTGCTTCTATTTGTAATAGAATTTGATTAAACTAAATTTATCTCAAATCACTTGATAATATAATCACTTTAAATAAATTGATCACCTTCATAAAAAACTGCACATTTTCTATTGTTCGAACTTAGAAGTTCACAGGTACCATAGTATAAGTACTACTATACCTAACAAGTAGTTTTATTCGTAAGGGAAAGGTTCCGCATTCTTTCAGACAAAAGAAGGGCTTTGACCGCTTCTAGGTGACCCAACCATATTTACGTCAATTCCTTTATTATAAAACGCGACGGAAATAATGCCAAAAAGTTAGAACAAGTTTCAAACTATATAAAATTTAGTAGTCCAATTAATGACGTACCCACGTATTTTTACCAATATCTTGTTAGTTCTTATTTTATCCTGAAATGTAAAATTAAGAACAAAATATGTAATTTCAGTATTAGGTATATGATATGATCCAATTTTATCAGTGATTAAGACACCATCTAAAAAGATAAGGAGATCTAACATTGATCTTTCGTCAATTAAAACTATTTGTCACGTTATGTGACCATATCCGAAGACCACACAATTCGTTCGTTTAAGGAGCCTATATGCGTCATTGTTTACTACTTTTAGCATTTTTCAACCAAAAGATATACATACATACATAATTGTAAAGTCGCGTTTGAGTACAAAAATAATGTTCACTCAGTTAAAAGTAAAACTATTTATAGATTAGTCTTAACTTTAGTAGGTTCTATATAGCACAATTATAATTTAACTAAAAGTTTATATGTATACGTATAAATCAACTCAATTTCACTTAACAAAGTTTCGTCGACGGTCAAAGTGAAGTAGGTAACTCAAATGTTCAGTGCCCATGAAATTATATGGTAGAAAAGTTACTGCCTCAGTTTCGCTGTTCATTCGTAATGCATATCACCTATATTGATAATAATTTCCATTGGATGCATATTTAATTAGTTTCAGTACTGACGTGAGGTAACAAGTGAAGTACATATAATTAAGGCGATTGTTCAAGATTCGTCGTGGTTACTGGTTGGTCACTCAGACTGCGCGTCACAGGAACAAAAAGGACATACACATTACTAAACCAGACTCTGTATCTGTGTGCATACTAAATAACGAATCACTTGTATTATTGTAGATTGTCAGTAGTCAGTACTCAGTACTCGGTCTTACAAATTACAAATTACCATCATGCATCAGTCACAGCCCGGCCCTGCTCGACGTTACACGCGTTTCCGCACGATAACTTTTGCTTTCGTGAACGTAAACAATAGTTGAAAACAAAAGTTAAGATATCACGGATACAATAAGTGTTAAACTTCATAACGTCTGTGACATTTTTTATTATATTTTATCAGGTAGTTCCAAGTTAAATAAGTTTCTATTTAAGTGTTATTCAATTATTGTGTTTTTCCGGAGGCGACCCGACGGTCATTTATAACTATCTCTGATTTAGTTCACTGAGTCACGGTTTCTGTGTAAATAAGATTAAAGAAAGTGCTTGGAGTACTATATGTTTTAATTGCAGTCGATACAATGGGAAAAGATTATGGTAAGCAATTTACATTGAATAGCCTTTCACTTTGCCTCTGTGCGTCAATGGCAAATTTTAAGTTTGAATCTTGAGGAAAAAGAAAATAGCTAACCTACTTCTGTAATTAAAGGTAAGGAATTCAATATAGCAAAATATAAAACTAGTTATACTATTTTATAGATGAGTCGATTGTCTTACCGCCAAGTCATACAGAGCAAACTGTGTGTCTAGTAATTTAATTTCATTGCTAGGTATATGAAATGGGCAATTTCATACAGACCGGATTACGGATGTGGGCAGGATAACTGCTAAAGGTTATTTTTAAAAGATACCGCCACTGTGGCTCATTAGGAACACACAAGGGGTACAATTCATAGGTGAATGAATGATCACCTTGAATGCTTATGAAATTATTAGTGTTTAGGGTTAGAAAATGCTGTCAATCTTACTCAGACTTATTAGTACGGGAGGTAGCAACGTTTTCGAGAAAGAATTTTAGGTCAGCTGATTTTGTGATATGTCTTCCTTCTTGCACTTTCGGTTAGAGTCTTGGCAATCTGGCTGGCGGTAGCGGTTGCGTTCTTTAGTGCGCATCCTATCTGTCCAGGTAATATCCTGGATTTTAAAAGCATTTTAAGAAGCGTAATTTTGAATTTTTCCTTTTTAAATAAGTCTACCTGACATACTTTTTTTATTGCCAGAAATTTTTCACATTGCTATGTGCCAGACGCGATTTTAAGTTTTTTTTTTATAAAAATTTCAAAGTATTTTAGAATGTCTGTAATTTTAATATTATGTTCTTTCAATATAAGAAAAACTAAAAATGAATTTGCCAGACATTAATTCGGTTGTTAAGTCTTGAATTAAAATGAAAAAGTATTGCAGTATGATGAAGCGTTGCATTTTAAGAAGCGCAATTTTTAATTTTTCCTTTTTAAATAAGTCTACCTGACATACTTTTTTTATTGCCAGACATTTTTCACATTGCTAACTATGTGCTAGACGCGATTTTGTGTTTTTTTTTTATAAAAATTTCAAAGTATTTTAGAATGTCTGTAATTTTAATATTATGTTCTTTAAATATAAGAAAAACTAAAAATGAATTTGCCAGACATTAATTCGGTTGTTAAGTCTTGAATTAAAATGAAAAAGTATTGCAGTATGATGAAGCGTTGCATTTTAAGAAGCGCAATTTTTAATTTTTCCTTTTTAAATAAGTCTACCTGACTTACTTTTTTTATTGCCAGACATTTTTCACATTGCTAACTATGTGCCAGACGCGATTTTAAGTTTTTTTTTTATAAAAATTTCAAAGTATTTTAAAATGTCTGTAATTTTAATATTATGTTCTTTAAATATAAGAAAAACTAAAAATGAATTTGCCAGACATTAATTCGATTGTTAAGCTTTGAATTAAAATGAAAAAGTCATGAAAAGTATGGCAGTATGATGCCTTTCATTGGTAATAAAAATATTTACGTAAGTTTTAATAAATGTTATTCATACAAAGTGATAAATAACTAAGTAATTAAAACTATTGAAGAATCATTATCGTGTGAGAAGATTCTGAACAAAAAAAAAATTAAAAATAACGCTTCCTCAAATGCAATGCTTCATCATACTGCAATACTTTTTCATTTTAATTCAAGACTTATCAACCGAATTAATGTCTGGCAAATCCATTTTTAGTTTTTCTTATATTGAAAGAACATAATATTAAAATGACAGACATTCTAAAATACTTTGAAATTTTTATAAAAAAAAAATTTAAAATCGCGTCTGGCACATAGTTAGCAATGTGAAAAATGTCTGGCAATAAAAAAAGTATGTCAGGTAGACTTATTTAAAAACGAAAAATTAAAAATTACGCTTCTTAAAATGCTTTTAAAATCCAGGATTATTACCGGACAGATAGGATGCGCACTAATTAACGCAACCGCTACCGCCAGCCAGATTGCCCAGACTCTAACCGAAAGTGCAAGAAGGAAGACATATCACAAAATCAGCTGACCTAAAATTCTTTCTTTTCAAACGTTGCTACCTCCCGTACTATATGTGTTTGCCTCATGCACCAACGGGGATTGACGAATAACGAATTTCACATACTTTATTTATAATACACAGATCTACCATAATACCATAAGACTGTTAACTAATTAATTTTTTGTCGCAACTTATTAGGTATTAAAAAAAATTAAAATGCTATTGTGTTCGTCATCTGATTATTTTTATTGCTAGAATTATTTAAAAAATAATAAACTTATTTTTATAATTTACTTATATATCTTACCGGAAGTAACTGATACCGTATTATATCAATTGCCTTTTAATACCGACAATACTGTACCTACTGGGTAATTCTCAACTAATAATAATTAAACAGTAAATAAACTTTAAAAAACTGTTCATCCTTAAACAAAGTATAATTGAATCGTACCTGTGAATTTCGAATGATCCAGTGTCCCTTACAAAGTCACGTAGATATAACGTAATACGTTGGTAGTACTAAACATCCCTTATAAATTCAGTACTAAAGTCACAATGGACTATTTAAAAATCATTTATGATTCTTTATTAGTGACCAAACCTATACAAATTGTTATTTTAATTATTATGTTACGTATTGTCTTTAAAAAATTAAAATTAAACATTCATAATTTAAAGAATCCGCCAAAAAGGCTTCTCTAGGAGTGATGCCGTTGCACCTATGACGTACCATGCCAGTAAACACGTA